CGGTTACCCTGGAGCCCCAGGATTGGATGGATTGGAAGGAAATATCGGACCACCGGGAGAGAAAGGCGATACCGGAGACGCTGGATTGCCCGGAATCTTCATTAAAGGAGTTCCAGGCGAGCCAGGATTGCCTGGATTCGTTGGTAGAAATGGAGAACGCGGGCAAAAAGGTGAACCAGGTTATCCTGGATTCCCAAGTGCGCCTGCGCCAAAGGGAGAGCCCGGTGACGACGGAGGCGAGGGCCCACCTGGCCCGCCAGGACCTCCAGGACCAAAAGTCAGTTGTTTCGATTATTTCGATAATATTCGTCTCGTCACTTAATTTCAACAGATTACACTTCCAAGGGATACTTTGAAATATTTTGTATACAACAGCTTTCAACAGATGATATGATTGATCCATCCGAACCCGTGGACGAATTCTTCAGAGAATTTACACGAATTTCTATGTACTCGTTTCAGGGGCCGAAAGGAGATCGTGGTATTAACCCGTTCTCGCCTTTCCCAAGGAAAGGTTTGCCTGGCGATGAAGGACTGCTAGGACTGCCAGGTACTGTAACAAACAACACTGTGCGAGACAACTAATGTCGAAGTAACACTAGCAGCTAAGAGTCACACGGACGATCACTTCGCGCAGGTTTCCCTGGGCTTCAAGGGAAGATAGGCGAACCAGGAGAAGACGGAGTTCCCGGATTGGAGGGAGAGCCCGGGATGATAGGACTTCCAGGTTTCCCGGGGCCGGATGGCAAGGATGGGCCCCCTGGCTACCCTGGAGTTCGTGGCGCGGTTGGACGACAAGGACCTGCAGGTAAGGAACTTGTTAATTTACTATCCTAACTTGGGTGAAATGAAAGTGAAACAATCTAAATAAACTTCAACTTTATTTATGACAGAATGAATTTAAATAAAACTTTTTATTTAATTTATCTCTCATTTATATTATATTTTATAGTAATTTGTTTTGGTGTGATAAACTGTATAGCAATCACCTACGTGTAATGGTACAAATATATCTGGTCTTCTTTTAACACGTTCCGTGCCATGTGTACCACAAGTGGTACACGATGTGATAGCTA